AGCTTTTAAGATGCCTTCCAACCCAACTGTTCTATGCTTAACTGGGCTCTTGTGTAGTTGTACAGACAAAAGTTTACTGGTGTGTGAAAAAGAGGTGATCATTTTCTCTTTTTAGAAATTCAGATTTGGGGGGTGGTGGTTTCTCTTTGGTGATGTCTTGTTCCTCCTCCCAGCCACTTAACAGAAGTTTTTGATGTAGATCTTTGAAGCACCATACAAGTTGTGACTGGATTGTACCCTTGTGCAGCTTCTCTAAAGAAATAAGTAGTTGCCTGATTTTAATTGGTAGGGAAATTAGATGAATGTCAATGAGATTTTAAGCAAAAAAAAAAAAAACAAAAACGGGGGGAGGGGGAACTTTCTGATGCTTCCAGTTGTATGGGGTTGGGTTTTTTAGGGTTTGCTGCTTCAAATATGCTTGGTCAACCTCAGGTGCAGGTTTTGGTAAGAAAAAAAAAGATGTATAAATTGCATAGCTTTAGAAAAGAACGTTTCATATCTGTTCAATTTTTAGGCTATTACAGTCAAAGAACTGACACCTATCAAAATATGTTAGAATTCAGTTTAAAGCAAATACAAGGGAATACTGTGGATAGTCTCTTCTGCAATAGGATGATTTACCACACGGGGGCAATATGCGGTTGGACTGAGTTGTTTACCTGTAGGTTAAGAAAATAGGTGGCAGAGTTGGCAGGTTTTGCCTGGACTTTTGTTTCAGTGTTGTGTCTCAGCAGCCGTATTTCTTTGCAGCTTGTAGCCTGTGCATGCTCTCGATTCCTGTGCTGTTGACTCAGATCTTCTGCTGGCTACACACTGAACCTTCTGGGTAGTGAGAACATGTTTAGACTAGTATACTAATCAAACTGAAAGAAGTTGCAGAGCAAGTGCCTGCGCCTGTGTGTGCACACACAGGTATGAACATCTGCTGTTTCATTTGTCTGTTATAATTGCCACTTTCACCATGACAGCCAACTTAAAATGCAGCTATGATTAGGAAAGTCAACAAAGGCAGTTGCAAAAAGGATGGCATCCACTATTTTTTATGTTAGCAGATGAGCAGTGTTTTCCCTCTAAGCATCCATGCCTGTTCTAAAGAACTGGTTAACACTGAAGGTTTAATTCTAGGTCACAGTCTGAGGCTAGTGGACTTTGCACTTTATAAATGATAAGGTAATTGGTTACATACAGTGTGTGTAAATGGGCTGCTTAAAAATGCTGCAGAAGTAAGCAACCTGAAAAACCCAAAGGACTACACTGGTGGGAAGGGTGATAGCATGGAAGCAGAAACAGGTTAAGATTGGAAGTGGAAACCCCCTTCCCCTCCAGAGTTCACAAATTTCTGTACCGTGGAAGTTAGTTTCTCTATTTGGCTCAGCAAGATGCTGTTAATGATAAGTACTTTTGACGTTTTATCTCTGCCAGTAGAACAAGGTGCGTTCTGCCAGGTTTTGAAGTCTCTTCATTACTACTGAAGAACAGGATTTCTTTTACCTCCAGGTCAATTTTAACAGTAAGTGAACCTGGTATAAGAGAGTAATTCTGTAAAGTAATATATACAGGTATTATTCAGGTGTTATTCATTCTTTGTGCTGATCACGTGGATCAAATCTCTGATTATGCAGGAATTCCTGTTCACCTTGGCTTGAGTCTTTTGCACTTTGCTTATGACAGTCAGTGTATTGATCAAATTCTGTGATTTCACTCTCTTCATTTTTTCCTACCATCTGGAGTACGATTGGGCTGTAAGTACAGAACATCACCTGGCTATAATCCTGAAATTGCCAGATTTTCCTATTTGAGAAGTGGTTTGATGCAATTCTGAGTTGTTAGGAAGAGGGCCTGGAGGAATGATTTGGCAATCCATGTAGACCAGTCTACTGAGATGTCTGAGTCAATGTGAAAGACAATGCAGCGAGACAAGACAACTGGTCTCCTGTCTGGTTCTGCTGCACAGACCATTACAAACTACAGAGTACTGCAAAGTACCTGACTGAGGTCTTCTGGGATGAAACTAATTCAGATCAGGAATACAACCAGGTCAGTCACTAACTGTCATGACAGTGAACTTAAGATGTGGTCACATTTGTGGAAATGAGAAGTTTTCCCTTGGAGTACATCTGAGGTGCTTTATGGCTGGTACTGTGTCACCAGGTCCTCAAAGATGAAGGGAAAGAAGAGTGACCATCCTGTGGAGATAGCTGTCAGCCCTTGCAGTTAGTCCTAACCAACACCATGCTTAGGCTTAGGCTAACAATGTGTACAAGTCACTGAATATCTCCAGATGCGAGAACTGTAGTACAAGGCACTGTACCAGCTTGAATGAGAGCAGGACAATGGCAGTGAATTGTGGCATTTGCCCCCAATGCAAAAGGAATGTGAACCTGTTGGAGTGAGTCCAGAGGAGGCCACAAAGATGCTCCGAGGGCTGGAGCACCTCTGCTGTGGAGCCAGGCTGAGAGAGCTGGGCTTGTTCAGCCTGGAGAAGAGAAGGCTCCAGAGAGACCTTAGAGCAGCTTCCAGTGCCTGAAGGGGCCAACAAGAAATCTGGAGAGGGACTTTTTACAAGGCCAGGTAGTCCCAGAGAACTTGTGGTTGCCCCATCCTCGGAAGTGGATGGCAAGGTTGAATGCGGCTTTGAGCAACCTGGTCAAACCCCACTGCCAAGTACCATCAGCATAGGTGATATTTTCTGCCCTGAAGAATTGGGAATGCAGATATGAAAATGAAAGAAGAGAGACTTCTTAAAGTTCAGGTTCATAGCAAGAAAGCAGGTCTTGGAGAAATACTTCTGCATCCTGCTGAACTCCCCATGCTATGGTGGAAACACTAGAAATGAGCTGCAAGTAGAAATCAAAGTACTGGATACGTGGGCACTTAAACACACAGCACCTTCAGTGCTGGATTGTTTCAGCACCATAAATTACATGTGTTTTGTGTGAGCAATAACAGCAATATACAGTGAAGCATAAACAGCAGGGTGTTGATGCTTCTGAAGACTTTACTATAATTATTGCTTCCTCTCTGATTGTTGTTATATTTTGCCTTTAAAGTGATCCCATCAGATTTGTTCTCCAACTTAGCAACAACTACTTTTTTTGCACAAGACAAGTTCTAATCTTTTTGGATGTTAAAGCAAATGATTAAAATGAAGACTGCTCTGAAGTATCTGCACTTTAAAGGATGCAAAGCTATGTTAGTGCTTAAGCTGCGACTAAAACACATTGCCTATGGAAGTGTAATGTAAATGGTGGGCAAAACAGGATACTGAAATATCAATTTTGGTAATGAAAGCACTTCAGTTTATTGGAATAATGAGTGGTTTTATGAATGGAGTTATGTAAAATACTGTGCATGCTTTTTGTAACTTTCCTGATATTTTTTGTATGCATAAAATTCTTCAGCTCCATTTCACTTTTGAAGAAATAATGGGACATTTTTTAAACCTTGTGTCTTTTTTCTTCTTAAGAGATCAGGATGTTGCTAGTCAGGAATTACTCATTAAATTCACTTATTTCTGTGGGTGAGAGTGGTGAAGTTCGTCCAGGTTGAAAGGGCTGTTCTGCATGAATTGTGTGTTTTGTTTAATATAAAAGTCACGTGCTATGCTAATACTTTGTTTTTCAAATTGCTGTGAAAAGGTCAAGTTCTCAGAAGCAAGGTGGCTCTTCACATTTCTTGGGCTATTGGCCATCAATCCATTCCTAGAGAGATACGAATATTTCTCTCATTTCTGTTGCTACTCATCTTGAAAAGCAGGCTTTAGTGACGTGGTACCTCAGGGGATTGGAGGGCTTTGTCAAAAGCAGTCCTTTTGGGGAAGTACTCTGATCTTTAGGGACAGGACAAGGGGGAATGGCTCTAAGTTGACAGAGGAGAGATTTAGATTAGACATGAGGAAGAAATTCTTCCCTGTGAGGGTGCTGAGGCCCTGGCACAGGTTGCCCAGAGAAGCTGTGGCTGCACCATCCCTGGCAGTGTTCAAGGCCAGGTTGGATGAGGCTTGGAGCAACCTGGTCTAGGGGAAGGTGTCCCTGCCCATGGCAGGGGGTTGGAACTGGATGAGCTTTAAGGCTCTTTCTAACCCAAACCAGTCTGGGATTCTGTGATTCTTGTCATCAGTCAGCCTCTGAAGCCAGGAGATGCAGAGGTCTGTTTGGGCAGAGCTCTGTTCACCCTGTGTTCAATTTCTTATCTCATTTGGTTCTTGGTGTTACTGATGGCCTTGCTGGCTGGAGAGGGAGGAAGGGGATGTTCTGATGGTCTTCAGCCATCTGTGTTGGATCTTAGCATGTGGGTGCAGCACTTGTATCTTCTCCCCTCTTCTGTAGTGCTGTGGCTTTTCGTATCTCTATTTAAAATCTGTCTGAAAGCTAACTAAACGAGAACTAAAATGTTTATTATTCAGAGAGAAACACATGAGCTTTGTTGCCTGAATGTTAGGGACTGCTTCATGTAATGATATTTTACCTGAGCACCGCTCACCTGTGCAAATGGGATTTGCCAGTGTTTCGTACCCCTGGGCAGAGCATCTGCTGGCCGTGGGTGCTTTGGTATGTGTGGCTGTGTGATTGTGTGTTCCCCTCTTCGGGGCAGGGGCGACGGGCAGCCTTTCTGCGAGCTAACTGTTCTTCAGCTCCGACAGGAAGAGATTTGGCATAAATAACGTTAAAGGTTCCAACCCCCGGCACCCTGCTCACGTTGGAAAACAAACGTTTTGGTGGCTTTTTTTGTGTTTGTTTTTTAAATAATACTAAAGGGCTGGCAGAACTGATTGGACACGGACAAGAGTGCCACAGCAGCCCTGCGTGAGATCAGGAGCACGACATGCTCGGAAGAAGGGATTGGGTTCATTCTTGCGCAGAGGCCGGGGCTCCCGCACCCACAGCGCGGGTCCCTCCGGTGCCGACGCTCCCCGTGGGTCCCGGCGGCGGGAGGAGCTGAGCTGCGCCCGCCGTGGTGCCGGACCGGGCCGCGCCGCCTGAGGGACCGAGGCCCCGCCCCGCCCAGTCAATGGGCGGGGCTGTTGCGTGCGGGGTGCGCGGGGACGGGGTGGCTGCGGCGGCGCGCGGTGGGACGGCGGCCGGCACCGCCCGGCCCGGCGCGGCCGTAGGCGCTGAGGTGAGGCACGGCGCGGTGCGGTGTTCCCCGCGGGACGGCCCCAAGCCGTTCCTGACAGTGGGCTCCGCGGGCCGGGCTGGGGGAGCGGGCGGCGGGCCGGGAGCCGAGCGGGACCCGCAGCCCCTGGGCGGGCCGTGGAGCGGGGCTGCTGGCTCGGCCCGGCCTGTCCGTGCGTCCGACGCTTCCGCCGCCCGCGGCCGCTGTCGTGCGCTGCGGGTCCGGGTAGAAGCTTTCGCGTGAGGGCCGCGCTCGGCCCTGCCAGCGTCGCCGGAGAGTCTGCGGTGGTCGCTCCTGCAGCCGTGGGGCCGCGGGCTCTGGCTGGCGGGCTCGGGAGCGCCTTCCCCGGGATGCTTCCCAGGGTCTGGCCTGGGCGGCTCCGGCACTTCCTGCTCGGACTGGGAGTGTTGGAGCACCTGCGCCCCGGCCCATGCCCTGCGCTCTGCATCTGCCTCCCTGCGAGGGACCCTCGGAGCTCGCCGGGCGCAGTGCAGGGGGTCGTGCTGCGCCGCCCTGCTGATGCCCTGTGATCAGGTTAAAGAAGCGTCCCTGAAGCCCCATTCATTTGGCAGAAAGAAGCCGCAGACCTTCTGCATCCTACCTGTGTCTCCAGCTCCTTCCACATAAGCAGTGCTGCAGGGTACAGCAGTGCAGGAAAGAGCTGTAAGACCCCTTTTGTGGTTGTGATGAGGGATGGGATGGTGTTTGTTAGAGAAGTTAGGGGACTGGGTTTCAAGGAGATGTTTGTCTCCTGGTGCAGCTGAGCACTTGGTCTTCACTCTTGGCTGCAGTTGTTGGATGCATCAGTTGGTGCCAGCTTGGTTTAGTGACATTAGTGGTTTGTTGTTGCCTAGTAAAAAAGGTAAAAGATGAAACTTTGCTTCTGGTGTACTGAAAGGACCTGATTTGAAAGCATCTCTGAAATTTTCAGGAAGCACTTCTCTCTAAGAGTGCTCCTTTGCTGTTCCATATGGGGTTCCACTATGTGCAGATGGAGGGGATCCCTTCTTACGGGAAGCAGGGATTGCTCTGTTCAGACCAGGGAGCTGGGAAACTGATGTTACTTCAGTCCAGCCTTCTACATAGGTGAGGGATGGAATGTTATAGTGACCTGTCACTGACCAAAAGGCACTATACTTGGAGGAGTTTCTTTGAAAGCCCTTGGTACCTTGCATATGTGCAGATGTAAGCTGCCTGTCCAGATTTGTTGCTGGCTGGAAAACAGTCTTGCTTCTGAAAAAGTAAGTTTATTTCATTCAAGTAGAAGACAAAATTCATTGTGGCTTCAAAGCTATTTCAAAAAGGCAACAAAAAAAGCTACGTAAATGTTCTAAGCTTTGTTCCATTTGTTCTTTCATTGGAGGCTGAAAGTGGCAGTCATTCTGTCACTGGGCTTCAGGGGCTGACTTAGCTTTGATGCCTGGCCCAAGTTTATAGGAAATTACCAGGATAAGCACTTGGTGCAAAGAAGCTCAGGGTGGGTGAGTGCAAGAGAGATTTTCTTTTTTTTGTAGAAGTACTAACATTGCATTTTAGTTTTGCATTGGTGAGAAGGTAAATGAGACCTCCTTCTGGCTGGCCTGGGGTTGATAGGAGGCTCTCAGCGCTCTTGGACACTTTTTCTGCTCTGCCCGTTGTCCGTAGAGCCTCTCATTCTTCCCAGTGCTTGCAGCCTACCTCAGGCTTCGCTGTTTAATTTTGCTCTGCCTTTCATTTAGTCAGCTCCTTTAACTGAAATGCTTCCTAAATCATGGCATGATGGTTTTTGTTAAGAAATGTTGTATGTAGCCAGCTTACAGAAAACATGGGATGCAACTAAAATTGATTGTGAACTGGAAACAATGCTTGGGTTGGTTAATATTCCTCCCAGTTTTGGTTTTTGAGGCAGCTGGAGCAGACCAGGCTGGCTGGGGATTTGTACTGATTCCAACTGCATTGGTAGTGTGCACTAGGAGGGAGCTGGATGTATTGAGATCCTCTCAGCTGCCCCGCAGCGGTCAGGGCACTGCTTTCCCTGGGAAACGTGGCTTAGTTCTGCTGCATGTGTTTCTGCCGAGGTGCCTGTTAGACCTTCAAAATGTGGATATATGCTGGATGGGGACTAGTCCAGTGGTAAATATTTTTAGAAATGTGTCATCAGCAAGATGTGAGGCCAAGCGCTGCTGAATTCACTTTTCCTGTGGGGAAGGACTCTGACATCTGCAGTTTCCATTTGACATGACTTTGGTCTCTCCTGGCTGGTAACTAGAGCTAGCAAAAGTACCCAGGAGCTCCTCATTTAGTGTGGAGCTGGGGCGTCTTCCTGCCTTGCCTTCAGGAGCCAGCGGGCTTCAGCCAGAGGGGAGGCTGCAGAAGCCTCTGTGCTATGGGGCTGCTCCTTGCACAGCTTCTGTCAGCATTCGCATCTTTTTCCTTTTGGGTTCCTGCAGTGTCCATCCTTTCTAGTAGATGTTTGTTCAGAGCGGGATGAATGTGGTCACAGAGTGCTAATTTTAAGAGTGGTTGTGTAATAGCCTGCTGAGGAGCATAACTCATTCTGGGCAACTTCAGTTGCTTGTAAGCATCTGAATGGCTTAGCAAAATCTTACCGTACAGTTAAGTTCTAAGGGATGCAGTATCAAGGGGATACGGATAACACCAAGCCATATTGGATGGTGCCTTGAGCCATCTATTATAGTGGAAAGTGTCCCTGCCCATGGCAGGGGATTGGAACTGTATGAACTTTAAGGTCCCTTCCAGCCCAAACCATACTATGATTCTGTTGGTTTCTCTCCAGGTTAGCAGTTAAAGGTGTAACCTGGGCAATTGTCTCTGCTGATTCTTCTTGTGGTGGTGCTGGTTTTAAAGTCTGAAATCTAGAAGTTCAGTGAAATGATGTGCACAAGGCGGTCTGTGAAAGGTGACAAATGAGCAGAAATTGTCTGCAACTTGTAGGTTGAGCACTGAGCTGTGTACACACGCTTCTAAGGTTAAGACTGTCCTTTTCATGCTTTCTTGTTGTGTGTCATCAGCTGGAAGACTTGGAGGCATCTCTGTAGTGGTCTTGAGCTGTGCTGCTCAGGAGGGCTCTGCAGTACTCATGTGGCCTCTGAGGGACTGCTAAGCCAATCAAGCCTGTGGTAGGCGTAATCAGGTAGGAGGCATCTGTCCCCTCTCATGAGGGGGTCTGCAAGTGTGAAAAGAAGTCTTGAAACCCACTGGTCTGCAAGCCAGGAAGATGTTTGACCAATCCTAATGTGTGCAAGGATAAAAACCTAATACCACCACCCCCACCACTCCCCAGTTTTTAACAATATGTAACCCTGGCTCCATTTAGATCCCCACAGCAGGCTGCCTACCTACTCAAAGTGTAGAGAGACAAAGGAATGTTTTCATGATCTGCCTCTCTCCTTTTTGGACAAAACACGTTTATTAGGAAACAATCTAACACTTCACTGAATTTTTTGTAGTGTGGTGGCCATGTGAAGGCTGTCCCAGTGTCAGTATCCACATATTTTTGATTGTTCAGGCATAGTACGGTATTTGGGAAATGCACCCAGAAGCACTGAAGAGCTGAGATGTTCCTCTGTGTGTTTCTGCTGAATGCCTTGTACATGGTTGCCAAATCCTTCATGCCAGTGGTGAGAGTGGGGTAGTGGCTTTGTTGGGCACACTGCATCCTTAGCACACGTGCCTCTTGTTCTTGTAGACCCCACTGCAATCTATGCCCATATACTGCCTCTGCTCCCGCGGTGTGGGAGAGCCAGGAAGAGACATGCAGGCTGTTTTTCCCCCCATGTCAAATTAAACATTTGCTCTGCAACAACTGCCACCAAACCATGGAAGTAAGGATCATGATGTAGGAGTTGGCCTGCTGGAACTAGCGTGGATTTCTGTAACTGAGATTTTTGCCTACTGACTTAATCTGGGTACAGCAAAGGTTTGCTAATAAGGTGCAGAACTGTTATCTGTGCAGAAATCTGCATGATGAAGGCTCTGAGCTGCCAGCATTGGTTGAAGCAGTTACAGTTTTGCATGACTCATCATTTGGAGGGATAAAGAAAGTTTATTGTTCCTGTTATCTTGGGGTGTGGTACAACCTTGTTGTCACAAAGTTAATGGGACGGCCAGGTACCAGTGAAAGGCAGAGTCCTGACTTACCCTTTTCTGCCTGCAGCTTTCCTTGTGGTGTCTACAGTGCTCATGCTGCTTGTGGTGATCTGGTTTAGGGACCTAAATTGGCAGAAAAATGAACTGGAAATTCAAATGTCAATGTGTAAGGAAGGTAAAGGTGACAGGTTTGAGTATCCTGTTTCCTAACCATGTTTTGTAATAGGTTTTTTTTTTTGCCACTTGTTTTTCTTCCCAGCAGCTGGATTTCTGACCAGAGTTTCATCAGCTTTATTACTGGGTTTGATAGTGGGATGAAGAGTGTTATATAAGGACTTTGTGTGCGACTGTGCTTCAGTGGGTAGTATTTTTATATGGGACATTTTTGGAAAACTATCTTTCAGGCTGTAATCCTCCATTTTCTTCCAGGTTTCTTTAGACTGTTCTCAATGTTGAAAGATGGGAGAGATAGAAGGAACATATAGGGTCCTGCAGACTCCCGGCTCTCGTTTGGGTGTCCAGAAGACTATGGGAGTGAGTACCTTGGAGCCAGGACAGAACCTCTCCACTGCAATGGCATCATTGCCTGCCAAAACACAGGAGCGGGACCTGCCGATCAAAATAAAGATGCTGGACAACACAGTGGAAGTACTTGACATTGAGGTAAGAGATGTTTAAGCCTGATTTCAAGTACACTTAGCCTCTAATAATGTAAAGTCCACAGATGTGCTGCTATACAGAGCTGGGATGTTTTGAGGCAATATCTCAATGAAGATTCCTGTAGGGATTTTACCTAATTACCAGTAGTTAAATGAGTAGTACATCTTGTTTGTTTTGTTTTTTTTTAATCTAACAGTTGTTTTGTGTGTTTAACAGATTTTAAATATAAGCACGTACTGTAATAAAGAGCTTTAACTGTTACTTGCTTTGGGGAACCACCAGCTGCCTTCTCCTGAACTTCTTGCTTTCCTGAGCTTTGTCTGTTTGGCAGCTGGGAGAGCAGAAGAGGGGTTTTTATTAGTTACTATTTTTTATTAATTACTTGAAGAGGTTTGTATCCTTTTCAAGTAAACTTCCTCCTCTTTGAAAGTTTTTGCTTGTTGCCACACTTTGGGAGGGAGGCAGAGGGATGTTTCTGAAGATTTGTATTTAAAAGTATGCTTGCATAGCAGCTGGGGAAATCTGCCTTAAGAAATACAAACCATGCTCAAGTTGGGTGGTTCTGGTTTTAAACAATGACAGATTTTTGTTCTGCAAATTCTTTTTTCATTCTCAGCATTAATTGTAGCTTGAGTAAAGATGTGTTGTTAGAAAAAAGCTTGTTCTAGTAAAGATAATCAGTTATTGGTTGCTCTACATTAGTATCAAATTGACTTTATAAATGGCACTCATATCCTTGGTTTGTGGCATAGACTTAAACAGGTTTTTCTGTGAAGTCAAATAGATTGAAAAAGATGTCTGTGAAGCTCTGAAGAATGAGTGGCTTTTGGGGATGTCTTCTGCAGATTGCTGTCCAGCTGTTCAACTCTCAAACATGAAATCCAATTAGTTTCTGGTTAAGTGTGAGGCTGTGCCTGTATCCTCCCACCTGAGGACACAGAGGCTGCAGCAGACTCTTCCATCCCTCATTTACTGCATAGCACACAATAAGCTGGTTTTTGTGTGTGTTTTCTTGTTTTGCTTTAATTATGTTAGAATATTTAAAACAACTTCTGACAGGGTCTTTTGAAGTGTGGGTTAGGGATTTTTTTCCCCAAGTTGGTGTAGATTTTGGTGCTTTTGTGTTCTGATTTTAAAAGAGAAGAAAAAACTCAAACAACCCACCCCTCCAACCCTGTAATTTTGAAAATTGGTGCAAGTCCACTAGAAGCTCTTAAAATCAAGAAAGAATTTATAACTCCTACTTCTTGCTTTTTTACATGAAGTCAGTGACTGCAAATCTCCTGTATATTAGCATAGATGCTTTCCTTCTCTTCCTTGCCACATTTATAGCAATTTTGTTTGCTCTTTTCATGGAAATTTCCACTTCCCTTACCATCTTCATCTTTAACTCTCACCTGGCTCTTTCTGACAGTCAAAGCCTGCTTTACTGGCTTTGATCTACGCCTGAAGGGAATCCTTTGACTACACTCAAATCTTAACCTCAGAATCCTTTTTCACGCTGATGAGAATTGCTTGGGTGGCCCTGCCGTCCCATCCTGGAGCTCTGTGCTGTCTTCTCTGCTAACTTCTAACCTCTGAGCCTCCTTGGTTCCCCTTAGTTCCTCTCTGTGCTTGGTAAGTTCACTACTTTCACAATACCATGTTTTTTGAAACTGTCATGACCTGATTCTCCTTTGCCTGCTGGAGCAGCCTTGACTGTGTATGCTTCCAGCTATCTTCATTGCTGTCTGGCTTCCTTTGCAGTTCCAGTTTAGCTCCATCCTTAACCCCTTGTCTTATCCTACAGCACTTTGTTGTTAGTCTTGCCACCAAATGTAGATTCAGCTGTGGCTCAGCTGAATGTTTTAACTCTTGACTGTCTCTTGCCTCTGAATAAAGTCAGCTTTTGCCTGATGAAACTTAGGTTTGATACTCACATGTCAACGTCAGTCTCTGCTTGTAAAAAACATAAATTCCTCACACTATTTTTCTTTTTACCACTGCGAATTACACTCCATTCTCACCTCTCTGACCAGTAATGTAGTTTCTATTCACTTCCAAATCCTTCATTACATTCACTTTGTAAAGCCTCTAGGGTGTTACTCTTTAACTAAACAGCTACCGTCCAGGAACACCTAGTTTCATGCCTTTGTTGCTGTGATCACCTTGTTGGCTTGAATCCTCTTCAGTCTTAATCACTGTCATAGAATCACAGAACGGTTTGGGTTGGAATGGTCCCTAAAGCTCATCCAGTTCCAACTCCCTGCCATGGGCAGGGACACCTTCCACTAGACCAGGTGCTTCAAGCCCCATCCAACCTGGCCTTGAACACTGCCAGGGATGGGGCAGCCACAGCTTCTCTGGGCAACCTGTGACACTATCTCACCACCCTCATAGTGAACAATTTTTTCCTAATATCTTATCTAGATCTCCCCTCTGTCAGCCCAAAGCCATCCCTCCTTGTCCTGTCACTATATGTCTTTGTAAAAAGCCCCTCTCCAAATTTCTTGTCAGCCCCTTTAGGCACTGGAAGCTGCTCTAAGGTCTCTCCGGAGCCTTCTCTTCTCCGGCTGAACAAGCCCAGCTCTCTCATCCTGTCTCCATAGCAGAGGTGCTCCAGTCCCTGGAACATCTTCGTGGCCTTCTCTGGACTCACTCGGGCAGCTCCATGTCCCTCTTTTGTTGGGGCCCCAGAGTTGTACGCAGGACTGCAGGGAGGATCTCCCCCTAGTCCTCCTCAGGGCTGCTCTCAGTCCAGTCTCTGCCCGGCCTGTATTTGTGCTTGGGATTGCCCTGACCCAGGTCCAGGATGTTGCACCATCTTGCTGCAAATTTACCTGTTTTGCATGTTGCAGTATGAGTCAACCCGCCAGATTATTCCCAGCAGTTCCTCCTACTGCCTGGCAATTTCTTGCATTGCTTCACTTGACTCCCAGTCTCTGTAGCTTCAAACGTAGGTTGCTTATCTCTGTTTTCAAGGTCCTTCAGCGCTGTACCTATATTCTCTTGCATGTACTTGGCTCCATCCCCTAATGGGACCACAATGCTGTACCTTTATTGTTTTCTCCCATCATGACGAGAGGATTCCCATAATTAGGAACTGTGTTAGTTTTCTCTTTTTACCTAGAAATCTCTCTCTTGTTACAACATCCACAGAAACACCTGTATTTGGGCAACTAGTGTGCTGTGGCCATAGTTAATATACTACTTCATGGGGAACTGAACAACTTAAAACTTTTGCCTGATGTAAACCGTGAGTTTAGAAGGGGTCATCCTTTGTTCATCTGTAGAGCATCGAGAATGAAGAGGTCTGTGGTCAGCAACTGCAGCATTAGTCATGCTACACACTGCCTAGATTACTTTTCATTTTTGTCCACTTGAAGTAGCAAAGGATGGCAAACAGGGAAGAGGTATTAATTTGTAATCCTCTGCCACCTAATTTGTCTGGTGGACTGGTGGGATAGCAGTAACTGCTGACTGCTGCTTGTGACAGTTGGTTTTTTCACATGAGGATTGAGGGCAAGAATTAGGAAAAGTTGGCCGCATTGCAGAATAGGCGGTGTGCACTAGCAGAGATACGTTCTTAAAGCAGCAAGGAGAGAAATTAATGATTAAACATCTGCCCCAGAGGGTTTGAAGCTGTGATTGCAGTACTGCTTGCCCACTCTACTTTGCTTTTGCAGTTTTGTTCCCTGGGTGTGGAAACAAGAGGTGGTGTCCCCTTCATTACCTGTGTCATGGAGTTTCTGGTTACTGATTCAGTTCAGCAATGATTTTAAGTGTAGTGGGACACTGAGGCCTTTGTCATAGATGTTGTTGGCACTGCTTTCTGATGGAGATGTAGCTTATGGCAAAAAGGCATTCCCTTCCCCCTGAGTTCAAGTTGTTTTCCATCTGTCTTAAAGAGCCATGGCAAATAACTTTTTACTGAGAAAAGGGGTGTGTCCATGGAGAAGATGTGGCAAAGTGGTCAGCTTCTGGAGAGGGACCTTCTCTGTGCAATGCAGTAGGGAAGCTGATGCAGGAGCCCTGTTTACTGCCTTGCTTGTGAAGCTAAAATGAGCCACATCAGCAATTTTAACCCTACAGGATATATAGTAGCCACAGTAAGGATTTAATCCATGCAGCTTTTTCTTGTTATCCCCTTCTTTCTCCAAGATGCACTTAAACCACTTGCTTATCTCTGGCAGGTGTTCGTGGATACTCTAATTTGGTAGCTCTTCCTTATTGCTTGAGTTTTTTAACTTGCCAAAGAGCAAGAAGAAAGGCTGATAAAGTGGCATAATGGATGGGACAAGAGCAAAATAAGAAAGGCCAGTCTTTACTTCATGATGTTACTGCATCTAGAACAGTGTGCTAAAAGTTCAGTCTAGCTACATGTCATTACCTTTGATCTAAAATCCACTGCCTCTACTTTCACCATCTGTACTGTAAAGGGTTTTTTCTAGCTATGTATTTTGTTAATCAGTAAGAAGCAGCTATTCCATCAAGTGTGCTAGAGCAGAGCTCTTCTGCAGGGAATCTGTTTTGAATGTTCGGGAATGGAGAAATGATCAAGTGTTTTCTAGACTACAAAAAACTGAACAGTGGGTATATGTGTTCTCTCCTTTCAGTCACAAAACAGAAAAGAGAATGAAGCGTTCATCGAGAGCTAGGCTGGAATAGTAATTATTTTCATGAGTTGGTTTGTTTTTTTTCCTTTTTCCCTTTTTACAGCCAGCTTGTGCAGTCAGTTGAAATCTTGCATATGCCATATCATGGGGTACCCATCCTCCTGCCTCCAAGTGAAGTCTGTCCAAATTGGTGGGTTTGCAGACTATGAAATGCATGATCAGAAAATTCAGTTTAATTCAGACAGTGGCACACTTCAAAGTAATCAGGGGTTTATCATAGGAATTCTGCCAGCTTTCCTGATTTTCTTAAGAGAATATACTTGGGAGGCCTTTGATCAGCATAAAAATACGTACAGAGTCTTAAGTAGAAGGGCCTGAGCTAGGTTTCATTCACCAAAATGACCACTT